AATAGTAGTTGAATAAAATTTTGAATGTGAGTCAACAAACAAGATGACATGGACTTTCACCTGTGACCTGTATCAAAAGGGTTAATACAACGGATTCTCCACCTTTGTTTAATAGTAAAAACAACTGCATGATTAATTTTACTGTATATTTCTTTAGAGAAATATTATATAAGCTTCAAAAAATTTGAAGCTTATGGATTATCCAAAACAAGTTACTAAAATTAAAATTTCTAGCATATACTCTTTCAAGTCATAGAAAACTGAATTTGAATAAAGTATGTGAATTCTTTTAAATGACTATAAATAAAACTGGTTAGATGCTTTTTATTTAAATGGAAGTAGAAAGCATGCACTGATCTCACTGAAAATCAGTGAATATATGTCAATACTCTGTATATCTACAATGCAATAAATATTTCCATTACTTTAAATAAATGTTTCAACTAACTATCCTCAAAATCAGTAGTCTTTCTACTACTAATTTTACTTTTATGTATATTAATATTGGTAAATTTATAATAAATGAAAATGATACTGTTTGGTAAAGGTACTGTGGATTTTTTTTTTCTAAACTTCATCTATGACATTTTGAAAATTACTGAACTATAATATCACCATTAATTACTATGCTTACACTATCTTTTGTCTAGGAGATCAGTGTTTCATTGCTACCCTAACAGATGTAATACCATACTATTTTCAACATTAGAAGTTAGTCCTATTAAGCAATCAGCATTTTAAACCTTACCCAGTAAAACCAAATGCTGGGTAGTTTTTTCATTACAATAAGTGGAATTTGCTGAAAGATTAATCATTAGGATCATTAATCAATTACATTCATCTATGAAATTTGTTTGAATGGACAGCAACTGCCTGTTGTAGAAACACAAGTACAGAGGACCACATTTCAAAAGTCTTTCACCTTTCGAAACATCGTTCTCTATACTTATGTTTTTACAACAGGCAGTTGTCATCCATTCACCCAAATTTCATCATGAAGACTCTGCCTAAACAATCTATCAAAGAATACATTCAACTAATACTACTAGTAATAATTAGAAACACTATTTTCAATTACTTGTTTATTTTTGTGACATTAATAAGTTTAATCATAGCTTCAATTAATCAATTACTTTACATGACACTATTCCATGTAAGAAATACTTGTAGGTAACTATATCAATTAATCAAGTTAACTGTTCTACCGTACACACAGTGTAACAAAAAGTTTGTAAATATAATTAATTTTTATTTCATTACTTTTACCAATCTTTAAACTACATAGTTTGTGATGTTCCTTTTATTGGGTTATAAAAATTTTGATTAATTTCTTCCTGAATAACAACAATCTATATACACCTGTGATTTCTTATAGGTATAGGGTGATGGGAGAGGGGTGGGATAAGTTGCTGTAACAGATTAAGGGTTTGTTAGAGATGAGAAAGCAAATGGTTGAAATAAATTAGTTCAGTCAAATTGGATTGGAGTTGCAAATGAAGTACACCTCAAGGCTCTTTGCTAGGTAGAACTGAATTTACAATTAATGTGATGATAATAATAAATCAAACTTAATGTTTCACATTATAATGTTTTTGATTATTCCAACAGCCAATTAACTGAAATTATGATTAAATCAGCTGCCATGTCATTAATGTGATGAAAAGAATCAGCTACGTAAACTTAGGGTTTTTGATTATTTACCATTTGCAATTATTTCCAATGTCCAAATATTCCAAAAATTGCTATTATCTTTGTTGTTAAGCATACACCTACATAATGGCTGGATAAAGGTTTTTATGGTTTGGTAATAATCCTCATTGCCACTAAATTTATTATTTCTGTCTTTATTATTGCAAAGCTAGTAAGGCTATCTGCCACTAATTTTGAACTGATGACTAGAGGGAAGGCAACTGGCTGGTAACACCCAATGCCAAATCTTTGGCTTCTTAAGCCATTCGAGACGGGTCATAGGTGAAAGGGCATGTCATCTCGTTTGTTGACTCACATTCAAATTTTATTGAACTACTATTTCATGAATTTATGTCAATAAGTTTTTTATCAAACTATAGATTATAATTGAAATTTTAGAAGTATACATTACTCGATTTATTAATTTGAAAGTAAATATAAAAAAAACACAGATAAACATCGATTTTTGTGTTACATGGTATGTTGTATGCAGAACTGGTTCAAATTAGATGTTTATGAAGTCTAAGTACTAAGTCTATAGTTTCGTACGAATTAGAAACTCAAATTACCAATATTTACAAGCTAGAGTATAAAATAAGAAGTTCTTCTCTTTTCTATTTACTACGATATTGCTCATGTAATAAATCCAACACAGTGGCACCCCACCCACCTCTTTCCATTTGTGAAAATGCTCCCTTATATACACTTACTTCTATGAATTAGAAACATTATTACAAAGAAACCAAGTTTCACCTTTAAAGTTATATAAACCTTATAATTTAAACACTTTACTTCACATTTTAATTTGAAATTCAGTCAAATTCAAATCAAAGTGCATAAACTTAAAATCGTACCACGTATATGATTTAGTATTATTATTAGTATTACTAATAGTAATATTAATACTATTATTCAGTATTAGTAATACCAATAATGAGTAATACAGTATTATTACTATTAGTAATACATGTACCAATACTATAGTAGTTTAACTTAGTTTAAGTTTTACTTTTAACTAATTACGTCGAATTTGAATCTAACTTTAAAAAGTTGTACTTAACTTGGCTCAAACTCTAAGTTAAATATAACGTTAAATAAATAAAATGAGATTAGATTTAGACATTTTATAAAATTATTATCATTTATAAGTTACGTACATTTGACATTTCCGTGGACTCCAATGCTGCAATTTTCAAATACTCCAAGCAACGAAACGAAAGCCAATATGCCCTAGGTCCTTCTCAAATACAAGTTCATTCAACCAACCAGATTTCAAATTTTGCGAATCATGTTCCGAGTTTTTTTTCACGCATAACTTCATAAAAGGCTCTCATTATAAGTTAAATTTATTATTTTAAATTTTATAATCTGCAGCAATTTTTTACGAATACTATCAATGTACAAGTACAATAAGTTAATAGTTATATTTTTATTTTGATGACTTAACGACCGATTCCAAAAAACAATATGGCGGACGAAGTTGCTAGTCAAAGTGCAACTGAGATTGATCCGGTGTACCAAAACACATCAAATCTGGTAGAATATTTTTTGATTTTAAAATTTAAGTTCATTTGGTATAAGTTGTTTTATTTACTTTATTTTTAAATATATTACATCTTAGAATAAGATGGCTAGTATTCGTAAATATTATATAGTTTGATATTATCGTTAACTTTTAGTTTTACTGTTGAGATAAAAAATTACAATTTATATTGAAATTGAAGCTTGGGTTAGGTTAGTGTTGTAACGTTGTTCTTTCGGTGGTGGGTACTTTCATATTATCTGGGGAAAACAATTCAACGTCCAGGCCACGTAACAATAAAAAATTAGTTTCGTTATCTCCTTAAAAAGATTAACGTTTCTTTACATATTAATTATTAATATTATACTTATACTTTATAGGCTTTTATACTTTGTAATTTGTACGCTTATGTTGATAATTACGTTACCTGCACTACACTCTATGATAATGTAAGCATAAACTTTCTTATACAAAGTATCTCCATATGCGCAATAGCTAGCATAAAATAAATCCAAAACTGCTTAATCCACCATACTAATTGGAAAACAACTTTCTCAGTTTCTGTCTTGATGCTTCGCCATTTCACTGCAACAAGTGCAAGCTTACTTAGCTAATTTACTGGTTCACCTGTATTTATAATTTAATCCTTGTTTAAAATTAAAGTTTGCAAAGCCTCTCATTCATAGATATTTCTGAATATTCTAGGACTAACTTCATCTTAATGTTATGTGCCCTCCAGCTAACATTAAAAGTATAGGTTATAACATTGCCCCTTTCTAGATCGAACACTCCTAATACAAAAATACTACACAAAACTGTTCTTTCATTCAAGTATTTTTGGTGTTTTTCTGTTCTGAGGCCTGTAATATACAGATGGGATGGTGATTTGTTGTCACTGGCCATCCTGTAGCTGTGAGACTTCTCCCTAATAGGTGGTTGGGTAAATCCACAGGTAGGTCTAACCTTGATGATCATCTGGAAGTCGGCTCAACAGGAACTCTGGGCTTCTTAACAGGATGAGTTTCTGCTGATAAGCCCTTCTCTGAAGTTACCCATTTAGCTGTTCTCCCACTGACATACTTCCAAAGATAAGTATGGTGGATAGTTTTTGGTTTGGATTGCCTATTCTCTGAACATCTATATATCTTTGGAGTTGTCTTATCTTGTAATGGGAATTGTTCAGCCATACCATGTAGCTTTGATGAAATCCAGTCTTATCAGCATTGACATAATAGTGACTTTTCATTTGATCACAAGCTGATTAAGTCTCTCCTGGATAAAATCATGTAGGATATCTTTATTCTACAATTCTAAGAGGCCCTTCCAACCACCAATTCATCAGGAAAAGCTGGAATATTTGACTCCACTAGGTGAAGAATTATTGCTAATAACTATTAATCTGAATATTTCATTTCATAGTACTGCCATCATCACTGTCCCTGTTTCAACTGGAAGCTCAAACTTCACTGTAATAACAAGATGTAGGGACTTCCTCTTCATAGACTCTCAAACTGTTTCAAACTAGCCTGACCTCACATCCATAAAATGAGTTCCCAAAATACATTCTTTCTCTGTGTCAATTGCCCACACATCATGAGATGCAGAGAAACCCCCTACAGTAAGGGTAACTTCCAACTTTATGTCCACCAGCTGTTCACATCAATTTTCCTTCCTTCATCTGTGGGGAAAATTTTTTCCATCTTTCATTAAGAAATCCGGATGGACAAATGTAGTTGTAGAACCAGTGTCAGTCAGCATACTACAAGGTTTTCTATCAATAAACACATGGACTTGTGGATGATTTTCCTCACATAATGACCTTTTCTCATTTGGGATAGATGGAGTATTCCCAGCTGAACTTCATCTCACAAGTCCAACAAATTCCTGTTTTATTGATGCCTCATAAGCTCTCTGTTGTTTCTTTGATCTGATTTGGCTCTCTCTCTCTGGTTAAATAACAGCTGTTGATTTCTTAGTCTCAGTTTCAGCTGTAATGGCCATTTTGCTCGCATATATAACAGTTCCATCTTTCTGATATCCTTTAGGAGGAGCTTTTATTCCATACAAGCTCTTGTTTGAAGTTCTTGGCAATATGTTATTTCAAGTTAAACTTGAAACACTTATTGTCTTCTAATTTATTCCCTCAATTCTGTATAACTAGTTGTCTAATTAATGCTTTTAGCTCTTCTAAATTGTCCTTAATGGGAGTTGATGTTGCAGTACTGCTCATTCTGACGATTCCTTAACTTGGAGATGATGTCTTTTAGCTGTTTATCTCTAACTTTAATAGCTTCTAGTTCCATTGCCTACTCTGGAACTTTCTTTAATGATGTACACCTAATTTGATTCAACATAATTCTGTTATAGTGTCTATAAATTGGTCATGTGCCATTGAATCCATCATTTCACAAGTCGCATCCAGATAAGATAATTGGGTAAGCTTTCAAATTTTTCTGCAAGTTTGGCTAAGGATTTTTTTTTCCCTTACTGGATACTTTTTTCTAGTATGTCACTCTGTTTCTGTTCAGTAAGGCAGTTATCAGTGTTTGATAGTTGTTACGTCTCACAGCTGGTGGGTTATTTAATGTCAAAACTGGTCTTTTTAAATGGGTAGTAAGATGAATGGCTTGTTTGTTATACCATCTGTTTACCATAGAAATGATTTTGATCTGAATCTGGTATGACTCCCATGGTAGTTTCCCATCATAGTCCATTGGTTTCTCTGTTAGCCAATTTTGAACTGGCCAGCTAATTTCTGAAACTGGATTTGGTATTGTCATGACTGGAATAGGCCAGAAAGGTCCTTCAGTAACAAGTAGCACAGTAGTAGTGGTAATAGGTGTAGACCAAACAAGTTATCCTATTCCATATCTGATAGTAGGTGGTGTTTTTGGTTTGAGCTCTTGAGCCAGTGCAGGAAGAGTTGTGGCTTGCTTAATCTTTTCATCTAATAATTTATTTGCCAGATGTTTTATTCTGTCACTGATGTTCTTTTCAGCTTAATTGATGTCATTCTTTTCTTCACTTTTGACTTTTGTTATTTCAGCTCTCTCTCTCTCTCTCTCTATATATATATATATAATTTAATATTCAGTCCATATAACAATAAAATATTAGTTTTATTTCCTCAATATTTCGTTATAGACTTTTGCATTTTGTAACTTGTTGTAGGCCTATGTTTACAGTCATGATATTTGAACTACTTTGACCTAAAAATCAATTTACTTGTAGAAACTAAATCAATATGTGCGATGGCTAACTCAGTTCCAAAATGTAAACACTGATTGATTCACTTTACCAGCTAGAAAATAACTATCTTCACAGTAAGTTTACTTGGCTAATTGGAAGCCTGCGATCTGAGTGAAGAATGAGAATTGGGATTGGATTTTGACAGTCTGCGTTTGTTTGTTTGTGTATGGACATCGCTAACGTATATGTACTAGTGGTATGTATCAAGCTTCAAAACTCTTCTTCAAATAAATCGTGCATGACTACAAAAAAGACACATTTTCATTAAAATACAAAACAAGTATATATTAGATGAAGTTGAAGAACTCGTCAGTTCAGGATACATTGCACCCTCTTCATCACGAAGACACCTGAATGTATTGTGTATTTTCAAAGGAAAACAAACTTACCAATTTGATCTTCTTAAAATCAGATCAGAAAAACACCAGGGAATTCTTTAGATCAAATCAGTATTGGTGGCCGATATGGAGATTGGTCACAGGCTAAGTTAACTGATCAACATGTGTTTATAATCTAATTCTTGTTCTAGATAGTTCACAAAGCCTCTTGTTTATTAATATTCTTGAACTAACTTGATCTTAATGTGATACCTCCTCTAGCTAATATCTACAGCATAATATCAAAAATATAGCTTAGAACATTAAGACCAAAAACACCAATAACAATAGTAAAAGGGAGAGTACCTAACTGATGACCTACTTCAGAGTGGTCATTGAACTTCCAATTTGAATCTTTTTGTAGTTTTTTGTTACTCATAATTAAAGCTATTTATAATTAACTGTTACTGTAGTTTTTTAGGAAACCTGGTGAGTAGTATTAGTTACAGAATTAGTTTCTTAATTTTCTTATATTTCAGAAAATGTTTTGAGGTCACAGTTCAAGATTTGGGATAACTAGTTAAAACTAATAACAAGGATTTTTATTAAATGTATTAAAGGTAAACAAAGTGTTAAAATGGGGTTTTGATCCACATTGCAGGTTAGAAGGTCTTTATTGAAAACTATAAGATACAGGGCTGTAGTGCTGCTCCAGCAACTGGAATTGGAGCCGAGTCCTGACTAAAAATATATATGTAAATAATAAGTTATTCAGTTTACACCCAAAATTATCTCTCAACCAAATTCCCAAAGCATGCAGAAAACTCTGTTTGTGATCCCCTCTTTCACTGGTAGAGTTCTCTCAGACCATCTAGCACACACTATGTCACTCTCCCTCAGGAATTGGCCTCAGATACTGTGCAACTATTCTGGCTCAAGAGTGTTAAAATAGTGAGGTGTTTTTCATCATACTGCAAATGGTCATGAAAATGCATGGGTATGGTATTAAAACACATAATAAAATACATTTGATTTTACAATTGTACTGTATGTTTGATAAAATATACACATTTGTTAAAGCTATGTTATTTACATAATATACAATGAAGGTCTGTTTTTTTGTTTTGTTTTTTTAGTCATTCATTTTAGCAGAATAGGAGATGTAAAGAGCATTATGAAAGTCAAAGTTGTGGATACTGTAGTGCAGTTATATGTACAGTAAATTAATCACACAATTTTGAAACTTATTTTGATATTAGTGATTTTGTATATGGTGTCCAATTGCTTTTCTTTTTCTTACTGCTAAAGTTAAAGGAAGTTAAGCTGCGTGTTTTTCTGTAATATATGTGTATTCACTTTAGTACTAACTTAAGTAATCTCAAATAATTAGTACTGTATATATTTCCCTTATTTAAAATAGGCTTACAAAAATGAAAATTAGATTTAGAATATGGAATCTTTACCCTGATGATGACATCACACATATGACAAATTTTGTCAGGTCTCTGGCACTGTAAGATTGAGCACAACACCACTGTTGAGGTAACGGAGCTTTTAAATGTTTCTCCTCTTCTGTTTTTACAAGAGAAGATGTTAGCAATATTCCTGACCCTGAGTATTCTTTAATACAACATTCAAGGACACAATGGGAGAGCAATGTGCTTTGGAAACGACAAACTGATGAACATTTTGCAGTGCAAACTGTGTTGCTTGGCTATTGTAAAAATGTATGGTCATCAGATAGAACATGACTAGGTGTACTTAACTTTATAAATAACACATACACAATTGTTTTTGGATTGTTTAACTGATTTATATACCAAGGTTTTAGATGTCCCTTTGGCTAAGATAAGACCCCATACAAGTTTAAGCTACCATAAACTTGGTTTGATTAGACACAACAAGGAATTCGTTAGTATTATTTTACCAATTGATCAGACCCAAATATAATTGTAAATGTTTGTAAGAATCAAATTTTAGAAACTGTTTAGTGGTATTCTGGAAAATTAAGAAATTTGGTTGTGTTACTAAATTATTAGTGTTTCTTTGTAAAATATGTGTATTTTGTATATTTCCCTTATGTAGCTTCATAATGTCATGGTTGGTATACAGTATGAGACCAGTATTATCAACATAACTAGTAGTTATGTAGTTAGAATCCCTAGTTTATCGGTCATTTGATGGTTAGTGTACTCAACTCATAATCTGAGGGTTGCAAGTTCAAATTCCTGTCACCGTACATGCTCATCCTATATGGTTGCTGACTGGGCCAGCCACCCATGTGTAGAAATTATTGGCTTAACTCCAAACTATTTGGGATTAAGGTCATTACAGGAAAAAAACATTAGATACTTTTTTGAATAATGTGATTATTTGTAGGTACAGTTATTTAGATCTTAGAAAATTGAGAAGTATTTTATGTTAAAAGTCTGTACTGTTTAAATTAATATCACATGAATAATATTCTTTTTTATGTTTTCCGTTTATCATATTCATAGATATTTGCTTTGTATTCATTTTTAATCATGTATTTTTGTTTGAATGAGACCAGTAATTAACAATTAAGGTAGTTTATACTGATTCCTAAAGCAATTACTATTGGTTTAATTTTTATATATTAAAATTTTAAATTCCTTATATTGGTTACATTTTTTCATCTTCCTGTCATAAAGTTGCTGAGTTTATACAGACCAATATTTAAGGATTAATATTCAACAATTTTTTAGTATATGTGTTTTTAATCTTTCTAATGTTTAGAAAATGGTTTATGAAGAAGACAATGTGAAAATATTAAAATCCAAGCTGGAAGGATGGAAACAAGTTGTTCAAGTGGTACATTCAATACTCGTTTGGGAGCAGTCGTATTATCCTGCTCTTCTGGCTGGTTTTGTTGCTCTTCAATTTATGTAAGTATGTACAATGTACGTAGTACTTTTATTGTTCCCAGGTGAAAGGTAATATATTTATTTCAATTATTTGTCAAGATGAAATTCTCTTTAAAATAAAAGAAATCAAAGTGCATCTGGCAACAGCTGCACTGTTATAGGTGCCTTGTGATACTAGTTAGTCATTATTAGCCCTGGAAAATATTGAACAGATGTTGCTACATACAATGATGTATTCTAACCCTCATTACAAGGAAATGGATGGTGGTAAATTAAGGACGAGTTTGCCTACATCTGAACATGTTGTTGATAGTGAGTTAGATTTTAACATTGAAAGTACACTGTAAGGAGACCATTGGGAACCAAAATATGCTGAAGACGGAATGTTAGAGATGGAAAAATACTGTTAAAAAATTTTCACACCATGCAAATACACATTGTTCTTATCCCAAATGATGCATATGCAGTTCAACCAAGACTCACCCACACTATTTGCCATTTTGCCAAAAATTAATGATAAGTTAATAATAGGCAAAAATAAGATCAATATAACAAGATTTTTCATGAAAGCATACCACACAGCCATTTCTATTTTAATCATGCCTATTTATAATCAGCAGTAAATATCTTTTACAGAAATCAAATAACTAACATCATCACATTATCAGGAATGGGATTCCCACCCACGAGATCCCAATGGATAATTTATAGAGTGCCTATTTAAATCTATATATATTCCATAACTTTCATTTAGCCAGTGACTGAACTAATCATATTTTCTGATCATGCATTGAATAAAAATCCAAATATAGGTCAGTTTGTTGCCCGACACCAGGCACAGTTAAAGCCTTCAATATGGAAACCTGGTAATTGTAAATTTCTGTAAATTGCAAGTTTCCTGTGCTTTTCATATGAATAATCTTCTTATAAATATTGCTATTAAGAAGCTAGTAAAGTGAATTTGCAATTAACAGGAATCGACTGTATTGAATAAACATCTGGAATATTAAAAAAATAATTGAATTGGAAAATAGTTTTGTTTTGTGTGTGTTTTCTCTCATTTTATTTGAACTAAAGTCAAGGTGTACTTGAGGCATTTTATAGTTAACGTTTTCCAGACAGGTCATGGGTCAAAGGCCATGTCCTCATGTTTGTTGACTCGCATTTTATTGAACTACTATTTTATGAACTTATATCAGTAAGTTTGGTATCAAACTGTAGATTATAATTGAAGTTTTAGTATTATACATTATTGAATTTCTTAATTTAAAAATAACTATTAAAAAACACAGTTAAACATCAATTTTTATGTGTAATGTGGTATGTTAAACGCAGCAAATTAGATGTTTGTGATGCCAAAATACTAAGTCTATAGTTTGTACGAATTAGGAACTCAAGTTACCTATATTGGCAAGCTAGAATATAAAATAAGAGCCTCCTATCTTTTGTATTTGCTGAGATATTGCTCATGTATTGAATCAAACAGTGGCCCCGCTCACCTTTTTCCATTTTTGGAAATGTTCCATTATATACATTACTTCAGTATATAACATGTGAATAACAAATTGAAAGCTCAGAATGTCTTCCTAGTGGCTTTCTCAGCCATTTTAAAGTGTAAGGACGCCATCTCCTTCTGAAGCAATTGGATATTTTTGAGGGAATTTTTAAGCATGCTTCAGTATGTTTAGTAGTTTAAAAGAGTTTAAGAAAGAAGTTGTAACAATTTTCTGAATTTTTGAGTGACCATATACAAGAAATGGTGTAAGTAAAAACGCATGTATTGTGAAATAAGGTCGAGAGCTATAAAGTACAGCTAGCTGGTTAAGTGGTATTGAGAATCATGAGTTAGTGAATCACGAGTTAAGAGTTATGAAAAATGAAGATATTGCCTAGCAATGAAGTAAGTGCACAGTGATTAATTACTGATGCCAACTCGTTAGTACTGTGGAAGCTACGAAAAGGTTTATGTTAGCATGCAAAAGCGGTACTTTGATAGTATATTCCTTACAAGACACTAGTGTAGTAGCACAAGTGAAAAGGCAACCAGCTAACTCACCATAACAGTAACCAATCACTTGAGAGTTATGGTTTTGGACTAGCCCAGGAAATTGCACAAATCGAGCAATAAAGTGTTAGAACTACTTGCAGGTAGTTAGGAATGCTATTTGAAAGGCCGAGAGAATACAGAGGAGTTATGGGTTAAAAACTTGTGTCTGGAGGTGAAAAGTTAGTTGTTCTTGAGCTCCTTAGAGTTATCCTCAGGAAGAATCAGCATTTCCAACATGAAGATGGCTTTGATATACAGAAACATCTGTTAGTTGAGTTCTTGCACACATCCTAAAAGCTATCTTCAAGTTTTGTACAATGAAATAACTTTTCAAGCATTTCCAACTTTTATGAATATGAAAGTCTCAATCCTCCAGAAGTATACTGACCCAGCTCTGTTGTAAGTATAGAATTATTATCTCTCTTGATCAATTAATGTAGTTAATAGTAATGGATATTCATGTTTGTATTAAAGGAATTTACTGTACATGTACTAATTATTAATACTGATTAACAGTTATAGTAAAAGTTATGAGAAGTTAATGATTAATAAACTTTTGACTAATATTGTATGTTATGTGGAAAAATTTAATAATTGTTGTTATAATTTGTTCAATATTAGTCTTGGGCTCTAATTCTTTATTCTAACTGTACATTACCTCGAGTTAGTGACTTATGAGCTCCACTCGCCACTGCAAATCCTCCACTAAATAAATCTGGTGTAATCGGCAGTATAACTGAAACTCTAACAATTTGCCCTAAGAGCGATGCCCGTTACACTTCTATCAAACCAAGATTTCAAGGAGGAAGGTTGTATCTTTAGTCTGCATCAAAATCTAATATTTTTTAGTCCGAAATACAGCCTAGTTACTAAGCTTGATAAATTATAGTAGAATTCTGTGGTATCGATATTGTAATTTATGATATTTTGGTTATTCAAATATATATATACAAAACATAAAAAACATTATTTCGTTTCATATTCTCCACATGTGAAATTTTAAAAGCCTTAGCAACCTATGTCAAACAGCAACCAAGTACAATGGTCATAACTAGAAGAGATAATTGTTTGGTTTACTTCTTTATTTACTGTTCTATGTTTTAAGAAAAATAAGTTTAAGAACTTATTTCTAATAGTAATAATCTATACACATGTATAACATTTGAAATGTGACTGTATTTTACAAAATACTAGTCTACTAAATCACAACCAAGACAAGTCACTTTGTAAAGACTGAAGATCAGTTTTATATTATAGGATATGGTAACAGGAGTGCACATGTACCACATCATTGTAACTTCTGTATTGTTAGCCAGGCACGGCTGAAAGGACAATGTAATAAAAATAATGAATGTATATAAATGTATACTGTTATGAACTTTGAGCTATTTAGTCCAAACATTTATGTTTTTGTGTTATAATTTGTTGCCATTCTAGAATGAAAAAGGCATAACTTATATTTATTTCCTAATTTTTTATGGTAGTTACGAGATCGAACATATCTGTCGAACCTGTACAGAGATTCATTAGTGAAAATAACAGAGAGAACATAAAGTTTTTTAAGAAATGTTTGATAACTATCTGGACATTACAAAGATTTTTCATGTGAAATTTGAACATCTTCTGATGCATAAAAGTATTTTAATCATAAAATGAAGATTACCTTGCATGTTGGATAGGCAACATGTGAAAAGAAAAATAAGGTATGAGAAAAACATTCTTTAACAAACCTTAAGACGTAATAAAAAAATTTGATATTTTGCATATGAAAGCATTGTAATCTTTACGGATAATCTGCCAAATTTCATTAACATATGCTTAATAATTTAAAAGTTATAGCATGAAAATTATAACAAGCACAAAATGGTTATGAGGTCGGTCCCATGGACCTGAGCCCGTGTTGAAAGAGTTAGTATATTTACTTCTGCAGTAGTTCCTTTTCAAAATGTGCATAAGAATTGAGTGTTGGCCTGAATGATAGCTTCTACCATGAATTGGGCTAGTTCAAGTTTCTTTTGTAAATTTTCAGTTGTGTATTTGTAAGTGTAAGCTTATTTTTAACAATGCATTTATTCTGGTTGTAAAGTCTTTGTCTGTATCACAGAAATATATGTAGATTATTGTTTGTGCCAATATTCTGTTGGTCAGTGACGTTAATCATATGATAGTAATTATTGCTGAGAGCATCTGTTTAACTCAGATTAAAAATAGTTAAGTCTTCCAGATGTAAAGAAAAGACAGTATTAAATTATTTTGGCCTAGTTCAATATCACTACAAAGGTGTCAATAACTATTGTACTTGAACTTTATTTTTATTTTGGCTCTAACAATGGTCAAGATATTTGTTTTAAATATTCAAAAAATTTTGTTCCAGGTGTGGATCATTTTGACAACTTTGCCTAGTCTAATTGCAAGTGAAATTCAGCATTACATCATAATAGGGAGGAGTCAGGAAGTTTTGAATGATTAGTGCTTTGAGTTTTGCTTGTAAACTATAGAAACAAGAGAACACAGAGCATTGGTATAAAATTTAGGCCATAATAAACAACTATAAAAAGGACCAATAGTTATTCAGGAGGAAACATTAAATGAAAGAAATGTTTTTTGTTTAATCATAATGGAGAAGGGGCTTCTAGGAAATAAATAAAGAGCTGTCCTTTGTGTTCACCTTAAAACAATTTTGAAATGTGAAAGATCATGTTTGTCATTGCAAAAATGTTGGGGACTGGCTTGTTGATGTGATGTTTAGCCACATATCGTATCTTTCAAAATGTACATAACTCTACTGACACTAATAGCTATTTCTCAGTCTTCATCTTTGCTATCTAATGTCATGTTTGCTTGCTCCAGTCTTTACGTACCCTTGCCCTTGGCAATATCTAATTTGCAGTAACCTTTATATCAGTTCCTGGTTCCAATGGGCTCTGTTGAAATGAGGTGTTCCATAAGACTGTCTGCCATTCTGGATGGTGAT